TATGTTAAGGTTTTGTTGTTCAAATAATGGAAAGTTTGCCTTTTCTTGTCATGGTGGTGGTTTTGTGATATAACAAAGTTTGATCGAATTTTGTTTTTGAAACAAAGTTCATTTCATTTCCTTGTGTTGTGTATAAGATTTGGAAAATGGTTCCAGGCTTATACGGTACAGGGGACACTAAATGAGAGTCAATTCGTAAAGATTTTGCCTATTTGGATGTTTTTTAATGCTACCTCTATTGTTGATTTTTTCATTATTTTTTTTGAATTTCTTGATCCATTCCCGGAATGGATGGTGTCTGCAAGTTGCTGTATGCTAAGTTTCTTCTTCTGGTTGAGAACGAGCCATTGTGGCTAACAAGATAACACTGAACTCAAATTCCTGTGTTTATAGTTTTCTCCCATTTTGTTTGTAGCATTTCATATATTACGATTTCCTATGTAAATCGTGATATGTTATGACCTGTTTAGTCTTATCTTTATATACTAAGACATCTGAGGTTTAAACAAGCATGTAAAGGTTTCCTGGTTCAGAAATGGCCTTCAGTGACAGGAATTGCTTGTCTCCCCTCGTCCCTCCCTTCGTGTGTCCCGTATTTATTTTATTTAAGATGTATCCACTGTGTATCAGGATTCCCTAAACTCTGCAATGGCGGTAGAAACATCCTGGTCAGATGATGAATTTTGATGATAATACAAGGGGAACTGGTGTGTTCTATCCATATTTGGGGCTAACTGACAGGTTGGAGACCCCCCCCCCCCCCCCCCCCCCCCCCCCCCCCCCCCCCCCCCCCCCCCCCCCCCCCCCCCCCCCCCCCCCCCCCCCCCCCCCCCCCCCCCCCCCCCCCCCCCCCCCCCCCCCCCCCCCCCCCCCCCCCCCCCCCCCCCCCCCCCCCCCCCCCCCCCCCCCCCCCCCCCCCCCCCCCCCCCCCCCCCCCCCCCCCCCCCCCCCCCCCCCCCCCCCCCCCCCCCCCCCCCCCCCCCCCCCCCCCCCCCCCCCCCCCCCCCCCCCCCCCCCCCCCCCCCCCCCCCCCCCCCCCCCCCCCCCCCCCCCCCCCCCCCCCCCCCCCCCCCCCCCCCCCCCCCCCCCCCCCCCCCCCCCCCCCCCCCCCCCCCCCCCCCCCCCCCCCCCCCCCCCCCCCCCCCCCCCCCCCCCCCCCCCCCCCCCCCCCCCCCCCCCCCCCCCCCCCCCCCCCCCCCCCCCCCCCCCCCCCCCCCCCCCCCCCCCCCCCCCCCCCCCCCCCCCCCCCCCCCCCCCCCCCCCCCCCCCCCCCCCCCCCCCCCCCCCCCCCCCCCCCCCCCCCCCCCCCCCCCCCCCCCCCCCCCCCCCCCCCCCCCCCCCCCCCCCCCCCCCCCCCCCCCCCCCCCCCCCCCCACCCCCCCCCCCCCCCCCCCCCCCCCCCCCCCCCCCCCCCCCCCCCCCCCCCCCCCCCCCCCCCCCCCCCCCCCCCCCCCCCCCCCCCCCCCCCCCCCCCCCCCCCCCCCCCCCCCCCCCCCCCCCCCCCCCCCCCCCCCCCCCCCCCCCCCCCCCCCCCCCCCCCCCCCCCCCCCCCCCCCCCCCCCCCCCCCCCCCCCCCCCCCCCCCCCCCCCCCCCCCCCCCCCCCCCCCCCCCCCCCCCCCCCCCCCCCCCCCCCCCCCCCCCCCCCCCCCCCCCCCCCCCCCCCCCCCCCCCCCCCCCCCCCCCCCCCCCCCCCCCCCCCCCCCCCCCCCCCCCCCCCCCCCCCCCCCCCCCCCCCCCCCCCCCCCCCCCCCCCCCCCCCCCCCCCCCCCCCCCCCCCCCCCCCCCCCCCCCCCCCCCCCCCCCCCCCCCCCCCCCCCCCCCCCCCCCCCCCCCCCCCCCCCCCCCCCCCCCCCCCCCCCCCCCCCCCCCCCCCCCCCCCCCCCCCCCCCCCCCCCCCCCCCCCCCCCCCCCCCCCCCCCCCCCCCCCCCCCCCCCCCCCCCCCCCCCCCCCCCCCCCCCCCCCCCCCCCCCCCCCCCCCCCCCCCCCCCCCCCCCCCCCCCCCCCCCCCCCCCCCCCCCCCCCCCCCCCCCCCCCCCCCCCCCCCCCCCCCCCCCCCCCCCCCCCCCCCCCCCCCCCCCCCCCCCCCCCCCCCCCCCCCCCCCCCCCCCCCCCCCCCCCCCCCCCCCCCCCCCCCCCCCCCCCCCCCCCCCCCCCCCCCCCCCCCCCCCCCCCCCCCCCCCCCCCCCCCCCCCCCCCCCCCACCCCCCCCCCCCCCCCCCCCCCCCCCCCCCCCCCCCCCCCCCCCCCCCCCCCCCCCCCCCCCCCCCCCCCCCCCCCCCCCCCCCCCCCCCCCCCCCCCCCCCCCCCCCCCCCCCCCCCCCCCCCCCCCCCCCCCCCCCCCCCCCCCCCCCCCCCCCCCCCCCCCCCCCCCCCCCCCCCCCCCCCCCCCCCCCCCCCCCCCCCCCCCCCCCCCCCCCCCCCCCCCCCCCCACCAAATCAGTAAATCGGGTGGCATGAAAAAGAGAGAGTCAAGCATGACAGAATTCCCAACTTGCTATAGTTCATCGACTAAGCTCATTCTTTTATACTAAAAAAAACAACCAGATCTAAGATCAACAATAAATTTCTTTTGTCATCATACATCATAATCAGAATCAAGTCACGTTAAGGTCCCTCTTCGAGTCTTTCCCTCGAGGGTGAATAAAAATGAATCAAATAGTATCCACAAAATGGGAAGTTTGGCTTCCAAAATAACAAATCCTGAGCAAATGCATCCATTTGAAAGGCAAGTCTAGAATAAAAATTCTCCAATCCTCAACTCACGAACTCTCATTTACTCCATTTGTGGTGCTCAGTCTTGAATCTTTTTTTGTTTTTTGGTGAATGCTGCTCTCATAGTCAAATTACAAATTCTATGTATCATGACCAACCCACCAATAAGACAAACTTTCCTTAGTTTTACGTTTTAGGCAATGTTCATGCACTCACAAGGGCAACAACTTTGCAACTTTAAGGGTGGGTGGGGTTTAATCTCTATCACATTACTTCAATTAGAATCAATCCTTGAAACTGCTGTGTCTGAATTTAAACAGAAGAAAAGGATTGTACACCTGCATAGCTCTTCCACCATCAAGACATCCAACTGGAAGCATATTAAAAGCTGATGTTGTTAAGCCACACCTGGAAGAAGGGCTTGAGCAGTAAGCTATTTAAATTAAAAATAAATCATGATAAAGCAGTAACACCCAAGAATGGTAGGTTACCAGCCAGCAATCACAAGAGGATGAATTGAAACTGCCGCTGCATGCATTGCTCTGCACAGTCATAACAGCAGAATGACAAACTATGTAACTTGAAGATGAGGCCAAAACATAAGATACCTTCAAAAAAGTACACAATACCAAAAATACTCAAAATAACATACCAAAGTTGAATAGAGACACAATATCTGAAATAACAAATGCCTTGGCCTTGCCCCCAAGGGGACGCATGAGTTTGGCCACAAACAAGAGTGGTTCCACTAAAAGGGGCACAAGTGGGGCAAGTTTGGTTTATTTTAACCTCAACCATGAACCAAACCAATATAGGTTCGTGAAGTTGGCTGGGTTTCGCAAGAGTTTTTACACACTTTCAATTAGATTCTTTACAGTAATAGATTTTAATGCCAAAAGCAATCATTGTTTTTAGTTAAGTTTTGGCAAGGATGAACCAACTCACTAAATTCAAAGTACAAATATCTCAAAACTATCAACAAAAAAAGGAATATTTACGGTAAGTAAGCACTAAAATAGAATAGAGAAAAGGGGAACAGAATACTATATATAAAGGCCTAGATACATAATTGGGAGAGTGTTTGTATATCAAGAGTAAAAGAAGATGAAACAAAAAAATAAAGGACGAGAACTAAATGAGCTTTAAGACCCCAAAGCAAAGAAGAATTCGAATAACAATAAAAAAATCTTGCTACACAACATGTACATATATACACATATAATTAATGACATATCACCCTACCACTAAAAAGAGGGACCCAAATTACCTCAAGAACCAAGTTAAACCAACCCAACAGTAGTTGACTTGGTTCGGTTTTCGGGTTGCACCAAACTATCTTGTACCCCTATCTTGTAATGATTTTTTCAGTCTGTTTAGCATCAATTTCAGACAATTAAAATTATGAAGACAAAGAAGAAACGTACGCATAACCAAGAGTGCCTCTACTAATGAGCCCAAGAAGCAAAGAGCCTTGAAATAGCATGCTAGGAACCTGCACCAGATCTCCTGCAGCTTCTGGATTTGATGAAAGCAACAGCCCAACAGCGAACATTGAAAAAGACAACGCAACACTGGCAAATGGGCCAGCTAAAGAAATGTCAACCTTCGTCTTTCGATCAGGGAGGATAGATTTGAACTACAAGATCCAATCAAAAAGAGATG